AATAACACAGATTCGATCTCATCGTTTTCTAGATCGTTCCCTTTGATGGCACATGTGTAAGAGGTGACATGTTCGTTGGGGTCGGCCGTTCCATTATATTTAGGAATATCGGGCATGCAAAACTTCTTAGGGATCGGTTTATGAGCCGCGCTCGGGGGGAAAGACTTTTGTATGAATTTTTTAGAATCTAAGCCCTTTAATATCGGTAGTGCCCCCGAGATCTGATCAACCCTGGAGTTATATGTTTCCACTTTTTTGTCGTTTGCCTCGATCCTCCTTTCTCCTAACTCTATTCATTTTGTCAGTTCTTCGAACATCTTAACAATTTTGGGATTAGTCTCTGATTCTTGCTCATTTGACCTTACTATAGCTGGCCCCGTTTTGTGGGTGACTTCTTGGGGAGGACTGGGCTCGAGTCTGGTCGGTGCCTGGGTTTGGCTCTGCAATTGGGCTATTGATACTTGTTGAGCTTGCAACATCTCGAAGATCATATGCAAGCTGATTTTGTTTTTCTCGGCATTTTGGGTATTTTGAGTTGCAAACCGAGTTCCACCATGAATGCTATTTTCAGGGTCGGAACGTTAGTTCACCTTGATGGCTGCATGTGAATTGACGTCTATTGGCTCTTCGACCCGAGCTCCAACGGGATCGACGAGTGGCCTTCCACCCTCGGGGGTTAAGTTGTTGTTCTCATCTTGAAGGCCAAGTTCGTTGTCGATTTGTAGGTCTATTAATTGAGAATTTGTCGTTTTCAATGTGAAATCAAAGATACTTCCAAGAGAAAATGTAAAATGGTGTGTTTTGTAAAGATCCGTACCAAACAACCACTGTTATCCTTAGCCCCACAGTGGACGCCAAACTGTTTACCCGAAAAACGGATAGAGTTGAATTTGTACGTAGTTCTAAGGTTACGTGGTATAACTTGACACAAATAGTAAAAGTAAGTAGAAATATCGAATATTGACCGTAAAGAATGAAATACCAACCAAGTTGAATGGAAAATAATTTATGGATAAGCTAGATGAGTCAATATATAAAGCTCAAAAGGATAATCTCCCAAAATGAGAGTGTCTCAATAGTATTTGAGTTATATTGTATGAATGCCTTGATGATCCCCACCCTTACACAAATAATAGCATCCTTCTTATAGTGGAGGGATCCTACTTTGAATATAATTAAAAATACATAGTGAGAAACCCATGATAGATTAGCTTTTCCCCGATTCTCGCCGAGATTCTCTCCCTTAGTGCGGCTGTAACGACTCTTGTCCCTTGGCTCGATCTTGATCGGACTCGATATTGACTTAAGCTCGATATTGACTCGGGCTCGGTATTGGTCGGTCTCTGGCTCTTAAGCTCGATAACTCCGCTTCACATTGTAGCTCGATATTGGCTTGAACTCGACAATGGCTTCGAGCTCGGAACTCGATTGGTTCCTAAAACATGAGCTCGGTGACCTGGATTCAGATCTCATCATGATATTACGAAGACGCTCCTCGGCCCACTATGTTCCAATCTTGACTAACCATACGAAGGTCGAAACCGGTTTGACCGTATACAAGGTGAAAATGTATATCAATTAATTATGATTAAGAGATTATATTTTATATAAAAGGGTTGGATTGTAATCCGACACATCTTCTTTCGATATGAAAAAACACAGAGTTTAGTAAATTTATTATTTATAAGTAAGTTCTTAGAGGCAGAAACGGAATCTAAGCTTTTAAATCGATCATTAATTGTGGAATACCATTATAACTCATATTTTATGACTATAGTTTTTGAACTTAGTGTACTTTATATATAACAAAAAAGTTAAAATTATATACTTGAGTGGCATGGTGAATTGCATATTTCAAAATCTGGCAAAAAGAAAAACAGCATATTTCAGCAAATTGTACTAAAGCATGAAAGATTTTGCTTTAAATACACGTATGCTTCAAACATGATTAAAATCTCCCCTAGAAGTAGAACCAACCCCAAATGAAGTATATGATTCTGAAATTCATTTGTGCTTGTACATGACAACAGTCGTTGATTGGTAGGGTTTCCCTTTAAAGCATCCACATATAGTACCAAAAATTAAAGATATGACTAAAGTTGTAATTCTCATTTGCAATCATTTGCTTTCCCATGCATGGATAATTTGATGGTGGAATTTATTCGTTTACTGTTATTTTGAATCTCATTCCCTTATAAATCTTTGTTGAACGTAGGTTACTGCATCTACTGTAATCTTTATTGCCATGAACAGATCAAAGTTGAAAACTTGAAATCTAACACTTCGTACTATGCTCATGGTGGATACTCTTATAGTTCTTTTTTATTTTTAAATTTCCCCCTTTCATTTTTTAAATAATTTCTTTTGGGGGGATTGGTTTTCAATCTCTGCTTTATTTAGAGTGCTAAAATGCTTGATGAACGGTTGTGATTGACTGGACGGAGGAGTAAGTATTCATAGGATACTGCATAGCATATGTGAGCCCCATCTAGTGAAAAAAATAAAATTTGCGTCATTATATCGTTCTTTCCGATCTCTATGCATTTTAACTCTCCATTCTCTACCAAAAATTGGCTCTGCCCCCCTACTGTACTCCAGCTTGGTTGACTTTTCTGAGTATGAGTTTTGTTTCTCCCACATATAATAACATTGGTAGATCTTAATTAGGTGAAAATGAAACTAATTCAACTAATATGCTTGAAATGTCTAGAAACAAGAAGCTATGATTAGGAAAATAGTCAACAAAAAAAAAGGTAAATTGTGACTTTCAATTAATTATATGTTATGACTCATATATTGGTAAGCTAAACTATTCTCGAACATTTGGGCTCTTAATAACACGACTAATACCCTTTTGAGGTAATAAATACTACGCTATATTCTTTAAAATATTCAATTTACCGCACTATAAGCGCTTTTACCTGCTCCTCTTTCATTGTTCATGAAGTTATTCCCACAAAAGCAAAATGTCTCCGCCACAATCTTTCCACGAATAATCCTTTCATATTTCAAAGACATTCAAATTCTATCGTACCAAGAGGAATCATGATAAAAATCATATTACGGGTTTAAATAAAAAATGCAAAATAAGGTTAGGTACATATGTGTTTTATAACAGTACAAGTATCATTCAAGCAAAATAGAGTGTGGATTATTTCTTAAAATATTCTCGTAACAACTCCAAAATCATTTGTAACTTGAATGAATACATATTGACTCCAACATTTTCAGGAGACAAAAGAATGGCATAGATTTCGTGCAAATTTCAGAGACACAACGAATTAAGATAAAACAAACAATAGGTGACATTATTTTATCAGTGTAATTTTGGTGGATAGTATTTGTATTGTATGGCTATGCCAGTTGAAAAATCGCAAATATTGGGTAAAATAATTAAGATGCGTATAGACTGTTTCGAACTTTTTTTTTTTTTATGAAAAAAATGGCGTTGTTGAGAACTTGAAAGAGCATTATCCAAAGGGCATTTTGAGAGACACTTTTTGAGGACCTATATTGAATTGTCTTTTCATATTTTGTGAATGTCCCCACACATCATAAACACTAAATCTTGTAAACTTTCCCCATCCACTACTTCGTCCTGAAAATGGCACCTGCTTAGTGCTTGGGATCCCACTTCTCATTCTCTAACAGACAAAACCTGAAAGATAGAAAGAAAAAAACACTTGTAGATGAGCACGCTCAGCAATATCCTTCAACTCCTTGCGTTTTGTTTCTATTCGGCCGATAACTGCATTAAAACTCTTACTAATTCAAATTCACGTCGTATAACACATTTCTTACTTACAAAAATTCTATATACAAGAATCAAGACCTCTAATTAAGATCTTCGTGTCACCATAACCCTTAGTGATTTTGAGATTTCGAGTTATATTTGTATAGCAATCTATTTTAACTTTATACTACCGGTAAGGGAACAAAAATATATTTCTCTATTCACTTTATTGTCCACAATGGACTTTGCACTCCCTAAAGAAATAAGTAATAAATAAAATACATATTGTATTATAACACCCCATAATAATGATAGCATTTAAAAACGTATTGGGAAATGATTTGAGGAATGAGTAGTAATCTCTCTAGTCCATAATAAGTGACTTTTTTGAGCCAAAATAAGTGTCATTTTACATAATTAAGAAATAATTAATTTTATTTTTCCAAAATTTTTCCTTATTTATATATCCCAATGTGTCAAGGTAACAATATGTAAATTTTAATTAGAGTAATTTAGTGAATACATATTTTTTTCTCTAGGAATTCATATTTTCTTAAGGGTTGCCAAAGGTCAAAGTCACTTATTATAGACCGGAGAAAGTAAACAATAAAGATAAAACATGAAAAAAAGTTTGTTGTTCTCTTGATTCACTAAAATGAACAAAGTAAAAGTAAAAATGAATGGAACGAGAATTTTTCTGAAAATAGCAGAATCATTCATAGAATCAGAGTAAGAAAATAATTTGCACTTGAAAAAAAGTGCAAGTAAATACTCGAAATTGTTAGAGGATAATTTCTCTTTGTTTCCCTTTAGATGTAAGATCTTACTGACACCAAAATATTTGTAAGCTAAACACATGTTTTGAGAGTCAAGTTAACAAAAGTTTAGAGAAAGACTGATGCAATAAAATCATAATTTGAAAATATTTATCCAACTAAAAACCGTCTATATTCTTCAGTTCAAAAGAGACTACTTCGATGAACGCTCATTGGACGGTGATTCTAAGTAAATTAATGTAAAGTAAACAAAATCCATCCAATACAAGAGTTTCTCCAATTAAATTATTAAAAGACTCTTATAGGTTTATGATGACTAGTTAGTCTGTTGCTTTACCCTTTATTATTGGTCGCAATAAGTAAGCAAATGAAGTATTCAATTTTTTTTTTAATTTTAAAAAACCCATAAAAGTAAAGCTGAATATAGGGGGCACCAAAATTTAGGATACATCCTATATAAAATAGGAACCACTTGTGTATAGGCGAGCAACTAAAAGCAAAATGTTTTTTGTATAGAGCCTGAAATAATGGAACATTTTTGTATGGGACACCATGATATTCCCTTTGCCTTTTTTTCACAAACCCATGCCTTGAGAAAAGCAACTAAACGACAAAAAGATAGTCCCTCTTAAAAATAAAAAACTTCAGTCCCTACATAATTCCAAACTCATTTACTAACTTTGTTTTCTTACTTTTCCTTTTTATAGAACATCATCAAACTTGTCTTTCTCATTAACCAAAAGGACATTTTGTTCTTCATCATCACTTGTGTCATCTCTATGCCCCATCATTTCCAAGTTGGTTAGCCTCTTGGCTTTCAATGCCTCACCTTCCCAATCTGTGCAGCAATGCACAACATAAAGTATAGAGATAGCACAGGCTGCTTGAGCTGACAAGAGACCATACCATAGGCCACTAAACCCAACTTTTAGCCAAAAGGCTAACCCTACGGCAACCGGGGTGCCCACGAAGTAAAACGAGCCGAGGTTGATCCGGGCGCCTATGGCCGGTCTAGCCGTTCCACGGAGTATCCCGCAACCGGTGGTTTGTGGACAGTTTCCAAGCTCGCACATCCCTATTAATGGCAGGACTGATGCAACAAGTGCTCTAAGCATCTCATCTTTTGTAAATAAGGCTCCCCATTTGTCCCTGAAGATCACTGTCCATATAACATTGATGAATCCAATCACAAATGCACAAGCTAATGCAACTGTTGCAGCTAACTTGGCTTTGTATGGTTTCCCAGCTCCTAACTCATTCCCTACCTGAATTTGACATTCAATTAGTATATATACCATTACAAAAAGATAACTCTATAATATCCAAGTTCAAGATAAAATGATATAGGATTAAAGTCAGAGATGTTACTATATTAAGATGCTAGTAAAATGTCAAACATATAAAATATGCAAGGAGATAAGGCATGAAATCCTTGGTCAACTCTAGTTGGTTAAATGGCTATGTCATATATTAGCCAATTGATATAGAAGTTAGGTATAAAAGAGGATGTAATCAATTGCAGATGTCAGTACACAAGATTTATGTAACCACCCAACATAGATGATGTAAATGAAGTATGATGCAATCAATCAACTGAACAAAAAGCATACAATCTTTAGGAAGATTATGTGAAACTAGACAAGAATAATTTGTCTGTTTTTTCTACAGTTTATGTTAGTTATAATAGGAGGAGCCTCCCTCTTTCTCCTTGGTATGTTAGTTATATGCTATCAAGAACCAAGATTTCCATAACAGTCTCATGCATATAATTGATAAAAAAACTAAAACAGGAAATGAAGTTCATTTATCATACAGAATCAAGCAACGTCACAGTGCCTAGCAAAAGATGGCTCTAATCTAAGAATCACATACAGTGCAACTCCAAGGGCCAAATCTTAAAAGGACAATAAACATAAGTTCATTGTGGTTCCTTACATGTCAATATGCACAAAATGTCGACACGTTTCACTCTCTTTTAGGATCTCTATTCACCAAATTGTACAAATAAATGTTCCACTATAGTATGTCAACCTCAAGAAACCAAAGATGAGCAGCCACTTGGGATAATGAATAGCAAAGGTTTCAATGGCCTAATTGCTTTCCAGTTCTAAAGTACTTGCTCGATCATTTAAACAAAAAGGTTTAGGACAAATAATTAGCATTTGCAATGTATTTGAGTCAGAGAGGTCAAATCAATCCAACAAATTGAAGCAAGTTGTTCCCTCAACCCTTTCCCCCAAGTAACTTGTCACAATAAAACATGTCAATTCACAAGGATCAAACAGACAAGTTACAAAGTATCGACACAATATTTGTCAGCAACCATTACAAAGATCATTATCAACTAATTGCAGTAGCAGGAACATGGCTAAATCATCCATCCATTAGTTAAAGCACACGAACAAAAGGATTTTCTTTGGTGGGTTTGATTTGCAAGAGCTCAGCAGATTTCATGACTAGACAAAGTGATTTGTCACAAAATTACATAATTACTGACTCCCTTTTCATCTCAGCTAATTGACTTAGTTGACAGCATAGCCATGAAATGGAGAATCATAGAAGAAGAAAGAAGTTTTCTAGCTAGAAACTATATCTTGCACATATAAGTGAGATAGTTAAATTGGAAATAATAATTCCATATACGATCCTCTCTTTTAGTGGTCACCTTTCTACATCAAACAAACTCTCTAGCTTTAACTTCCCATTTTATATGTTTATAACCCCACGTTCGAACTAAAGTAAATACTCCCTCCGTCTCCGTTTCAATATATGCGAACCTATTTAATGTTTGGTCCGTGCAAAAAAGAATGACCTCTTTCCTTATTTGGCAACAATTTACCTTTATGCAATAATTTATAGCCACACAAAATATATGTGTCTCATTTTACACCACAAATTCAAAAATCTTCTCTCTTTTCTTAAACTTCGTGCTCAGTCAAATGAATTCACGTAAATTGAAGCGGAGGGAGTATTTCTTAAACTCTATGTCCAATCAAATACAACCTGTTATATGAAGTATGAGTTATATTTCCAAACATTAAATGGCTTTCTCCAAGAATTTAAAATAAAAGCTCTTATCATGTCAGCATTAAGTATGCTTCCTATACTAGACTAGAAGCAATCACAGTTTCAGCAGAAAAAGGTGATGGAAAACTTACCCTGGCAGATACACAGCCAGCTAAGGCCATGGGAACAGTGTACATAAGGCTAGTGGTCTGTATCATAATCCCAGTTGCAGCAACAGCAAGTCTTGGATTAGGCAAATATCCAGCAAGTACAGTCACAATCTCATACCACCACCACTCCAAACATATCCCTATACAACTAGGAACTGCCAACTTCAGCAGTGGCCCCAACCCACCACATATCCCTCCAATCCCAGCCGTCCATCTCCACTCCCACTTCCCATATACATACACATACCCCATCATCAACACCATCATATGCAGATTAGTCAGCACTGAAGCCATAGCAACTCCTGGTACCCCTAACCCCATCACCACCACCAGAAAATAATTCAAAGGCACATGAAACAGCACTGCAATAAAAGTGCACCACATTTGTGGCTTAGTCACCCCCTGTGACCTCAGGTACACCCTAAGGGGCTGCAACAAAGTGTTTGTTGCAAGATCAGGGAGTGAGTATATACAGTAAGTTGCAGCCACTGATGTTATTTCCTTGTCTTGACACATGAAAAGCATGATGGACTCAAGGTTTATCCACAGAAGACTTATGGGAATGATGGCCAACAAAAGTATGCAGATCATACGTTGAAGGGAAAGTGAGAGCAAGTCCCAGTTTTTGCTGCCATAAGCTTGGCTACAAACTGGCTCAAGACCTGAAGCAAGACCAACAAGAACAGAGTAGCCAGTTATGTTTGTGAAACCAATGGAAAGTGCCCCACCAGCAAGTTGTAAACTTCCAAGCCTGCCCAAGAATAGAACAGACACCACTGCTCTAACATACACCAAACAATTCATTGCTGTTATTGGCAAAGCCATTCCCCATAGCTCCTTTAATTCCTCCACCACCTTTTCAAGTATCACAAATGCAAGTTTAATTTAGCACCCTCTCTTCTATAAGCATTTAAATTTTGTGGGTAAAAGAAGAAAACCTGGGAAGGAGTAGGCAGTTTGTGGGACAAAAAGTCAGGGTCTTTCTCTGCCATTGATGAAGCCTGAAGCATATATGGATAGTCAAGAAAACTCCTTAGAATAGCACACAACGAACACTTCAGATTATTACGCAAAACAAAACCAAGACATCAGAACAGTAAAAAGAAGAAGATGAAACATCATTCAAGATTTTTCACCTTTAGTTTTTTTCTCTATATACTTCTCTTCCTTCATAAATAACAAAAACATGAAAACAAAACCAACCCACCTTTTAGTTACCCTGTGCTTGTCAGTTCCTCAAACCAAAATAAGTTGCACTTCAAACTGTAACGCAAAAACAAAAGTGAAGGTATCAATACAAAAACAGAGAAAGATGTAGTACAAGCTTGCTCTTTTTTCTATTTACCCAATCAAGAAACAATGGAAACAAAACCAACCCACCTTATGGTATACCCCTGTGCATCAGTTTCTGAAACCAAAAACTGGTTCGAATTTCAAGACTTCACGGAGAAGGGAAAGAAAATGGTGAAAACCAAGAAAAGCAATGGGGTTCTATTTCTTTGGGGTGGTGATATGCATATATAGTGAAAATGGATTAACTATTTTTTATGTTATAATATTATGATACGATTTTATATACTACTCTATATAGGTTTTGTTGCCTAGGATAATAGGGGCAAGAAAAGGTAGTACAACTAAATGCTAATGGCGGCGACTGTGACCTGAGACTTGTTGAGAAAACACATGAGAAAAGGAAAGCACTCTGCTCTAATTTATTTATTTTTTTGTTTTGGAGTGACAAGGATGGATTGATAGGGACCTCCCTCAACATATATAAACCAAAAGGCGAGGAGGGGTTAGAGAATGAGACAATGGGATTTTTTAGCTGCCTATTTTATGCTTCTACTACAACTTTCACTACTGCTCCACTACAACTTTTACAGTTTTATTACAGTGACATGTGTATATTATATGGTACCGAATAAATATATATATATATTGTGTGTGTGTGAAGGGGGAGACGGAAGAGCTGGGTAGAGGAAAGGACCACCAGTTTTGTTTTTGGGGTGGGGTCGTGGGGCTCAAGCTATTAAATTTAGGAAATTTTATCTCCTGTAGGAAAATTTTACACTCTATTTATTATAAATAAAAATTATTTTAAAATATTATTTTTTACAGCGACTTTTTAGTTTTTATAGCAAAATATATATTTATGGTCATTTCATATCGTTAAGCTATTAAATACGCTGTCTAATATTTTTCTCTCTCATTTTTTCAGTTTATTCACTCCCAAAATCACCGTATCTTATTTCTCTCTGCACGATCTCTCTCTCACAGCGCCACTGTCTTCCCCATTGTTGAACCACGATTCTCCTTTATTTGCAGGTTCTCTCTAGATTGTTCTCAAACCCTAGGTCTCGATTTGGTGGATTCCGTCTCTGTTAACATGAGTTTCAAAATGTCTTGATCAAAGTTTTTAATATGAGTTGTATCTCTTTCCCAAAGTGGAGCGGACATGGTCTGTTCATAGCTGAATTGATTTTGAATGTTGACATGAAAGAGGAAAGGATAGAGGAGAGGGTGGCAGCGGCTAATAAGATTAGGATTAGGTTTGGGGAAATTGATTAAACAATTCACATATAACAATGGAATTGTATTTGCAAGTTCATCAGCAACCATTGAAGCCGAAAGGAGAACAAAAATACGCAATGACCCTAATTGTAGATGTATTTATATGTATTCGGGTCCGCATACATTGATTTTTAGTTTGTACAATGGGTTTCTCTTCTTGTATTTAGATATATTTATTCGATAAGGCATACACTGATTTTTATTTTGTACAGTGATTTTTGACTGTTGTATTTAGATATATTTATTCGATAAGGCATACACTGATTTTTATTTTGTACAGTGATTTTTGACTGTTGTATTTAGATGTATTTAAGTTCATACAACAACATTTTTAAATATATTGTTAGTTCTATCATTTCGATGTTATTCATCAATTAGTTATGCATTCAATCTAACTGTATTTATCTGTATTTTTAACCTAACTATATCCAACTGTATTTAAAACAACAATACAATGAAAGACAGAAAAATACTCTCAATACAAATAGAAAATCAATGAATACAACTAATGAAATATACACAATAAAGCAGTAATACCATGTATTAAGAATAAATAAAATATTGTGAATACAAAAATAAACTTGAATACATTGAACACAATTGTTAGATACAACATAATACAAGCACTAGGTTTATTATGAAATATGCAGGCAGTAGATTACTATTACAGGTTGTATCCGGCATAAATACATGATGTATTCATATCCAGAAAATCGAATTTCAAAGTATTTCTGTAGATACTTGTATCAGTTCCGAGCAGAACCTCAAACAATGTCAGAAGAAAAAAAAAACTCGAACCATATCAGAAAAAAAGAGGGATTGAAACTCTGAACAATGCTCTGTTTTTTGGTGTTTAGCGTCTGATAAATCTTCTCATTAATTGGATTGATAATGTTGTGTGTTATAATAGATTTAGGTGAGTTATATTAAGATTGTATCCCGTTAAATTAGTAACTTTCCGTTATTAAACAACTGAAGATACCTATTATTATGTTGTATTCATGAATACATGGTATGAATACATGTGAATATAGTGGCTATAGTTGGACTGTCCTATTTTTTAGCTGATTTTTGCTACTATATTCATGAATACAGTAGCTCGAATACACCGAATACATTACCATAACAACTGAAAGGTAGCTACAAAAAGTAATTATGTACATGGTAACTATAGAAAGTTAGTAACCATTAAACAATAGTCATTTCTGAAAATTCCTAACTGTTTTTGCAAAATGGGCGGATTTTTTTTTTTTTATAGTAACACCTCAAAGTTGCTGATGTTCTTGAAAGTCAATTTGAATTAGATCAAATAAATATAGGTTTGTAAATTAATTAAAAATTTCTCCTAAAGCTACTCCTCTGAAAAAGCTGAACTGTGGCGTTTTTTGTTTATAATTGAAAACTGGCTTTTGTCAATTCAATTCTTAACTTTTGTAAATCAATGTTTTGCAAAAATTGTTTCTCAATCAAATCAATCAAAAGCTTTACTTTCCTGTTGAAAAACAATTTTTAAAAAATAAATTGCAACTGCGAAAAAAATTAAACTTTTTCTTTATATGTTGCAAAAACTCTTCAATTTTTTGAAGCAATTGCTTTTTGGTTGGAGGAGTAACACTTTTCCATCTCGTCATGTAAAGATTTGGAATCTGATGATACACAAATGACATTGATATTTTGTAATTATAATAAGTTTTACTAATATAATTGTATATTTTTACTTGGAATTGTGATTTTCCGTTAATACTCCTAAAATATACTGCGACTTTTTTTTACATTTCATGAAAGAATGATCTTTGCAGTTATTTGTCCATTTTAGCCACTAGTTTGTTCCTTACCTCATGTTGATGAAATTATATTACTTTATCATTAAGGGTTGCGTAAAGTGAAAATAACTCCTTTTAACTAAAGTTTTTGGGTTTGAATCTTGAGTGTGAAGTTGATTTTGTTAAGGATCACTTCATCTGTTAATGTAAAAAAATTTCGTGCGAATCAAATTTAGTCGGACCCTAATGTAAGTACCGGACCAAAAATGGGAAGCCAAAAGAAGAACTTAAATTTCTTTTGTAAAAAATGTACAAGAGCAAATTGCATAGACCATTCATATCATATATGTCCAAACCACAACTTCTTCTCTTTTCAATTGTTCAAACCCTCAACTTTAAGTTATTTGACTGGTGTATTCAAAGTTCAAACATATTGGCCCACTCTCCAAAATCCCGATACACTAGACCAACAATTTTGGCCAAAAATACACAATAATGTGCTAACGAGGAGGGGCATTTTGGAATGATAAGAAAAGGAAAAGTTTAAGGGCTTTTGACACGCACAAGATCCATCTTTGGCTAGAATTCGGTCTTACATCCAATAAATACAAAAATATACTGGCTAGGCTAGTTTTAGAAGGGATAACATAATGATGTTTTGAGCATACGCAAATATTAATGAAGTTAAAGTTGCATATATTGGAGTAAACATCTTTTTAATTTGTAATGGTTGCGTCTAGACTAATTAGTGCACATCTTCAATTCTCCATCAAGCACCGCTATCTCCCATCAACAGAAGTAACGGTAAATCCTAACTTCTAAAGTTCAAACAAATAGACAGAAATTTACTTTTTAACTAGAATTTAAATTTTAATCTTACATTATATTTATCCTACTTTATTGGCTATTAGATTACATCTCTAGAGACAGATATTGAAATTTCCATTCGGATGGTTGATGCAATTAATCTCAAGACAAAGAAAGGAGCTTTGTGATAAATTCAGAAAATTATATAAATGGACGAAGTTTGACATTTTAATTTCCTGTTTGCTGATGGTTACGAAGCGTAAAATTAATAGTTGAGGAGCGAACTGATTACCTATTGAAGATATCACTTGGAAAACTGATGTTGTTTCACAAAAATGAACATCATCCGATACTTTAAATTAAAACAAAAGATCAGCAAATCCTATAAAAGAGGAAGAAGCAAAATCAATTTGTAGACAATAGAAAATAAAGTTGTGCTTTGTAAGGTAAATCTATAGTTCAATAAACCAACTATAACAAAACAATGACCGATGCAAACTTTGAAAATACTAAGTGCTGATTAAAGAAAATATTGAAGGAGAGGAAGAAAATTCCTTCATATTGATTAATTACTTAACATTGTCATTAGAGAACTAAGATTTAGAACGATGAACTGCAAGATAGTGGATGAAAAGCAATAATTGCATAATATAATTCTTAGCTTAACTGAAAATCATGCTTGAGTTTGTATACCTTGCAATATGAAGAACACGAAGAATGAGTGTTTGGATTCCTTTTCAATTACCTGGCTAGTGAAAAGAGAGAAGAAGAAGAAGAAGAAAATATGATTTACGAGGGCGGACAATAAAAGTTCTGTAATCAAGATGGCACCATAAAAATTTGGTAACTAATATTACAAATAATTTAGTGAAATTAACGTGTTCAAGTAAGTAAGTAATGGAGTCGATTCTCTTGATAGTTACCCAACTTATGAGAATATTCCACCAAAGTCACTTTTGTTTGGTTTGTAAAGTCACCCAATTATTTCTTTTTAACTTAAAAATAAAGAACATCCATTTGGCCTGTCATGTCATATTAAAATATATTTTTAATGATAAAACTTATTTTCCACAAATAACTCTTTTTCTTTCCTTGCAAACATTGATCTGATTAATATGATCTATTAAATTATTCTTACAGAAAAAAAAATTTAGTAAATTTTTCGTTGATGTACGTTTTCAAGCTTAATTGTATTAATAATTTAACACAAAATCAATATGAAAACTAAAGAATGATATGTTCGATTTAATTTTAAAATTTACGGATAAAATACCATTTCAAATTTTAAAAAAATTTAATATATATATATATATATATAAAAGGGGTTGATAGATTGTTAAAAAATGGTGAAGTAAAGAAAGAATGTAATTTGTTGATAGCCATGTCCTGATTTCATTTGGTACCAACAATTAGTATTGTGCATAATAATTATCTCCAATTACTTTCCAGCTAACTGAGATCAACTTGTCGGTAACCCTCGTAGCTTCAAGTGGTATATCAATTAAGTATCAACAAGTTTTGTTCGTCTTGCTTCAATTAAATGACATATGATT